ATAGCTTCTTACAATCAGCAATCCAAAAATACATCATACAAATAATACCTGAGTCTTCCCTCCGCAACAGCCCATGATGCAACTCGTTCTGTAACGAACGGCTTCATAATAAAGCCGATAGCGATTTTTGCGGCGATTTTTTTGCGATATTGTCCATGATAAATAATGGTAAAAGAATTTACTTGCAAAGTTTTTTTCAGGTTACTAAGGTTTTCCTTGACGAATGTCTTTTTTGAAGGATGACACAAAAGATTTCATATTTCCGAAAATTGCCACAAAAATCACAGCAAGAATCGCCGCAAAAATCGCCAGTGTAAACGGGGCTTTTAAAATATGTACTGGCAAAGAATCGACCCATCGCCTCACTGCTTAATTAAGAAAACCACCCTAATAAGAATCAAACGTGTGAAACAAACAAATTATCTAGATCTGTGCGCTCTACTTTCTCCCTTTTGATTAATCTCTTAATTTTTGCTTTAATTTTCTTATTCTTCTTGATCTCTCAACTTGAATTGGGAACAACTAAAACCGGTGCTAACATTATAGAATACCGCTTAGCATACTGCTTAATTAAAATCTCAATTTGGGTTGCCAATGCAACCCGGCTTCAAAATAAACCCAGCTAGCAAAAAAATAAATATGTAACAATCTGAACGAGCTCATGTTGCTTTGATTTTAAAGCGTTCATAAAACTATAAGCGAGTTACATTAATTTGTTTTAGCAGATCAGTCATATTGTAAAAACAAGCATTGTCGCGAAAGACAAAGGGTCACGTGAAAAAATGCGTGACGATTTCTCTTCCGTTCATTTGGGATTCCTGTGTGTATTTTTTATTCTTTTACGATATCACTGAATTGTTCATTTACTTTTTGCTTTATAAAGTAATTATAAAAAAGGRGTGGATATTCGTAAAAAGATTGATGAATGAAATCGTAGTCGTAGTCGGTTCATTTGATTCGCAAGTATTATTAATTTTTTTTATTCTTTCTTTTTTTTATTATTATTTCTCGTTCTACGGCGTTAACTATACAGTTTTTTTTATCGTGATCATGCTTATGAAAATCTTAGACGAAATTTTTAGCAAAGGATTGTGTTCAATYGCAACGCTAGCTATCTAGCTTGCARTAGTTTTTTTACATGTAATGCGATTCAATTTGCACGGTAGTTTTTTCCCCTCCGGCTGCACCGAAGGAGTCTACCTACAGAAAAAAGTGCTTTCCCACTAGGCTATATAGTGAAAATAGTTCTGGCGAATTTAGTCTTTCGCTGACTTTTACAGTAATATCTGAATGCTTTAATATGCGCTTTCATACAGGCAGACTGAGCCGTAAATCCAGCCGGCCATAAAAAACGAAACTGATTCTGACAGTTACTGTACACAGTGCCATATCAAGAATAATATATATTTTGACTTCATGAAATTATACCTTGACTAGCTAGCCTATAATGCATATRATGAGGCTTTAAGGCTGCAGGAGAGAATATTAGACGAACAGCGCACGAGAAGGAATATTACCTTGACATTGACGTTCTTTAATTCTTTGCCTTGTGCCTGCTTCAAGCTTGTCATGTTTGAAGATATTTTACATCATAATAAACCTCGTCGTCGTCTTATGCCGTTTCCTGTTGAATGGACGCCACAAGTAGCAGCTATTATGGCTAATAAAGAGCCTGTAGACTTCTGAATTTTTGACTTGAAAACTCAGAGATATGGATTTGATGTTTGAGGTCTGGAATAATCGCTATCCGTGACCGACCGAGTGAGTCAATGCATTGGGTCGAAGAGGTGAGCTATCGATCATGAAATCAATAGCTGTTCTGTGGGTGTGATTCGTCCATCCATACATACTGTGAATAGTATTCTTTGTGCATTCCAATCACCATACATCACTCCGTGTGARCTTTGTTTTTATTTTTGGAAGCCTCGATTTTAGCTCCTCACTGCATTACTTTATTTACACTGTATCATAGAAGATAGAAGAAGTATGGAACAAGGCTATGTGCAACTATTAATGCCATCGATTTTGTAGAGACAAATGTCTTTGTCACGCGATGATAGGGTTCTAGGAATTTGCAAGCACAAATAAGTTATGTTCAACTATAGAGGAAATGTCTTGCCAGGATTAGCATTTGATTAGTGTTCGCAATATGACCACACGAAACAACTCACCAGATTGGACAATAGCGGAAGT